CCTGACCAGTCCGTGGCCATCAACACTGAGGGAAAGAGCTTCCACCAGCACAAAGCTGAGGATTCGCTGAGAGCTCAGATGATGGCTAATGTTTCTTAGCAAGAAAGTAATTTAAAAATATTTTTTAATGTTACTTATTTTTGAGAGAGAGAGAGAGAGTGAGTGGGGGAGGGAAGAGGGAAAGAAGGGAGTCACAGAACCCGAAGCAGCTCCAGGCTCCGAGCTGTTAGCACACAGAGCCCGACTCGAGGCCCAGACTCAACGAACCTCAAGATCATGACCTGAGCTGACCTCAGATGCTTCACTGACTGAGCCACCCAGGCGCTCCGCCATAAAATATTTTTAAATTAAGTATGTACAGTGTGGTTTTCTTAGACATAATGCTCTTGTGCACTCAATAGAGTAGGGTGTAAATATAAATTTCATGTGCATCTGAAAAACGAAAACATGCGTTTGACCCGTGTTACGGTGACATGTGGTTATTGTGATGGTTTGGAACCCAACCTGCAGTATGTCTGAGGTGTGCCTGTATTTAAACAGGCCTCCAGTCATGAAGCAGTGAACACTGGGGGCCACTTGTCCTAAAACTCTTTGGACTGTGAGACCCTACGGTTTCCTTCCACTGCTTTATATTTAGAACAAACACGCCGCAGAACTGGTGTCGCGTATTGCGGGCCTGGGGAAACGCTGTGTTCCGCCATGTTGACCCTGGGAGGGGGGTCAAGAGGGGTGGGTGTCAGGCATAGGACCTCGGGGCTCTTGGGTTCCTTATGCTTGGAAGAAGTTAGGTGTTTGTTCCAGAAAGAAGGGAGGTTAGAAGGGGCGCTGTCCAGGGTTGATTTTCTCCTTTGAAAGGGTTAAGTCTACTCTTTGGGGTCCCGTAGGGAACCGCGGGGGCCACGGGAGGAAACCATCTCTGCTGGGATTGGAGCTGGAGGGGAAGCAGAGCTACCGGCCCTGTGGATTCTGGGCAACAGATGTTGCTGACTCTTCTCTCTTGCTTGTCCTCCCTCCACAACTCTGGCTCTCCTTTCCGTTTTTACCCGCTTCATCTCCCCTGCCCCTGAAGGCCTTCTTCTTTCCCTTTCCACCCAGACACCTGTCCCCTTTTCTCATCATGCATCTCTCAAGACCCCTTCTCTTTGTCTGTTTAACTGCCCACAGCAAGGGATGAAATGTGTGCATGTGTGCATTTATATTTGTGGTGGAAGTTATGAAAGTTACTACGTAAGAGCTTTCTGTTCCCTTTTTCTTCTCTTAAAAACAGCTGAAATGGGCATTTCACTTTGTTTCTTCTATCCCCGGAATGCATTCTGTTCCTTCTGGTTAGGAGTGATCATTGACCAATTTTATTTTATTCCACCCACTCCCCCTGCCACCCGGAGGCTGGAGGCCTCAAAAGCACCCACGTCTGGCCTCTAACCCTTGGTAAGCTGAGAGCCCAGAGGACTGGGAATAATCAGGAACCTTCGTGGGGAAGCCAGAGCCGTTCAGATATCCACCGAGCGCTTTTCTGAGTGTGCCTGGGACTGGTGGACTGAAACCCGGCAAGACCAGATCAGGGCAGAGCTGCCGGATGGAGAGAAATGGTTGGATGGAAAATTATTTTTTCTTTCCCAGTAATTGTTTTGACACGGGGAGTAATTAGCCAGCAGCTGACAGCTCAGAACCGAAGTGAGAACAAGAGAATGGATTAGGGGCACAGTGCCCCTGCGTTAGGCAGTTCCTGACTGGCAGGAGTGTGGCGGGCGGGGCGCCTGGCGGATGCTGGAAGCGGAAGACAGACAGGCGTGTCCTGAGGGCACACTTTTAGGTGCAGTGAGGGGGCTGGGTGGGGGTCAGAAGGGCAGCCCCTGCCCTCCAGGAGCGAGGGACAGCCTTGGCATAGAGGGACCCAACATCATCAGAGCTGGTAACTGGTTCCAGGCTAAGACCTGCTCAGGTAAGAATATACGTAGTTCGTGTTCGTAGTCAAACTGAACTGTGGTTCAGCTCTTTTGTTGTCTTTGGTAGATCTGAGGGTCAGGGTAATGCTGTCTTTGTTTAATAACTTGCAAAATTTGCCCTGTGTTTCCAAACCTGGCTATAGCTTATGTCTAGGTTTTTCTTTGTTGAGCGTTTGAGTGCATTTGCCTGTAAAACCATCTGGGTCCAGTGCCTTTTGGAGGGAGGTTGTTTTTCAAAGGTTTTACTCATTTTGGTGTTTCTAGGGTCCTTTGAAACCATTTTTGATCATTTTGATCTCATGGAAGGTCATGTAAATATTATTATTAGCGCATAATTACAAATTATATGCTCTTGGATTTATAAAAAAAAATCTTTTACAAGATCTGCTTATGTTTTCTTTCTAATTCCACACTCTGAGCATTCGTGCACTCTCTCTGTCTCAAATTAGATGAGTTGACCTGTTTTTTTATTGTTGAGATTCCTCCCCCGGCTGCACACAAAGAGAACTTGCCTGAATGGCAAATGTGATCCTGCTTCCTAACCAGGTCATTTCAACTGCCATATTTATACCCCCTTCTCATTTTTTTCTTTTGGTGTATTTTACTGGCTTTTAAAAGTTTTTTTTAATTCTTTTTCTAAATATTTTTTATTTATTTCTAGGAGAGAGAGAGAGAGCATGAGCAGGGGAGGGTCAGAGAGAGAGAGGGAGTCACAGACTCTGAAACAGGCTCCAGGCTCTGAGCTGGCAGTCAGCACAGAGCCCGACGCGGGGCTCGAACCCACGAACCGCGAGATCATGACCCAAGCGAAAGTCGGACGCTTAACCGACTAAGCCACCCAGGCGGCCCTCCTTCATTATTTTCTAAATATTGTATAATTACTGTTTTAAATTCTTCTTTGATCTGGGATTAGGAGAGCATTTTCTTTTTATTATTATTACTATTTTAAATGTTTATTTATCTTAGAGAGAGAGACAGAGAGTATGTGAGCCAGGGAAGGGCAGAGAGAGAGGGAGACGCAGAATTCGAAGCAGGCTCCAGGCTCTGAGCATTCAGCACAGAGCCCGACATGGGGGCTCAAATCCACAGACTGTGAGATTGTGACCTGAGGTTTAGTCAAGTGCTTAATCAACTGAGCCACCCAGGTGCCCCAGCAAGGCATTATCTTAAATTTCCAAGTGTTTGGGAGTTGGACGGATGGGGAACTTTGATATTTGTTCTTTTGTTACTATCTGCTTTTACTGCTTTCTAGTCAAAGAATGTGGCCAGCGTTCATTATGGCTTTTGTGATTTATTGATGCTTTATTTGTAGCTTAAATATGCCCCAGTCTTTTTTTTTCCCCTAAATTTCCGTGACTTGTTGGCAAAAGACGGTATCTTTCTTTGTAGCGGATGATGTTTAATATCTAGTTCATTCAGCCGGAAAGCGGCACACTACTACGGTTCTCACCTGCTGTCTTTAGATTCTCCTCCATGTGAGTTTTATCCATTTTAGTCCTGTGCTGTGTGATAAATAACAGTTCTCAAATGTTATGCCTTCAGTGCACGTTGTATTTTTCAGGGTAGGGCCCTTCTTGGCATAGCTTATGCCAACTTGAGTGGTTTCTCCTTGACCGCCCCCCCACATCCTCTGATGCTCTCAGAGCACCCCCAGCCCACCCCCTACATCCTCTGATGCTCTCAGAAGCCCCGCCCCCCCCCTTAATGCTAGGGACTCATGGATAGTATCAGCATGTAACCAGCTGCCGAGGGGCATGCGAGCAGAGCAGGGCTGTCTCTGGCCATGTGGGGTAATCTGTTTCTTGCTTCCCCAAGCCACCCGCCTGAGGGCCAGCTCCGTGCCCAGTTTTCAGTAGCCTTCCTGTGTCTGGCCAGCATTCTTCCAGAGGATCAGACCACCCTGCAGACCCGGGAGAAGCCCAGCTGTCCACAGGGGTCTGCCCAGTGCTCTGTGTTTCTGCTCGCAGTGGGGCACGGGTTTGGGATTTTTTCCCCTGCAAATGATGGAGAATGGGAGACCTCCCCAGCGTGAAAAAGGTCCTGCTTGGGGTGGCCTTCGTCACCCCATTGCTTGCTTCCAGCAAATCAGTAGGCGTTAGGGGCTTTCAGCCAGTCTCTCTTGCTTCTGGACGCGCCACAGGGCTCTCTCTGTAAGAACCATGGGCTTCGTACATCTTTGGCTCGACCCGCACAGTATGTGTGTTGTGTCGCCTCCTCCAAGCCTGGACATAAGGAAGGTTTGTCTGGTCTCCAGACATCACACAGGCTGGGGTTCGAGGTGAAAGGATTCGGGAACAGAGGCGGTAACCTGTCCTCTCTCCATCTACCCCTCTGTCCTTTTCGTAAGTTACTTCATAACTCACAGCCCCTTTTAGCAAGTACTGTCGCATTTGATTTTTTAAAAATACTTTGCAAATGTTTATTCATATTTGAGAGAGAGCGAGAGCAAGAGCGAGCATGAGCAGGGGAGAGGCAGAGAGAGAGACACAGAATCTGAAACAGGCTCCAGGCTCTGAGCTGTCAGCACAGAGTCCGACGCGGGGCTCGAACCCAGAAACCACGAGGTCATGACCTGAGCCGAAGTCGGACGCCTAACCGACTTAGCCACCCAGGCGCCCCATGTCTCATTTGATTTTCATGCCAACAGGGTAGGTTTGGGTATTGGAGAGAACTGTCCCCATTTCACAGATCCAGAAGCTGAGTGAGGCTCCTCGAACTCCATAGGGTCACAGAACTATGAACCGCAGGCAGTTGGTGGACGGGCCACCTGACTCTGTGGAAAGAGGCTGGACCCTTGATCAGCGCTCATGGCCGCAACCCCTGTGGCATTCTCGGTGATGGCTGTTAGACTAGAGTGACCCCACCTCCCATTTAAGCACATTCCCCTCTGGCTCAGAAAGAAATGGGGCCCCCCACCAAGAGTTCCGTAATTGGGAGCCGGGGATCGGAGAGATGCGTGCCAGGCGTTTCCAGCTCCGCGATAATGGTAAGATCCTGAGAGAGGGTCCCAGCCGTGCACGACATCGGCTTCTGAGCACTGTTTCTCTCCCGCAGTGAATGGATACCACGCGGCAGGGACCCCCGCGCACCCGCCCGAGACTGCCCACATGAGCGTCCGAAAATCCACCGGTGATTCCCAGGTAAGGGGTGCTGTGACGGGGGGTAGGGGGAGGCAGTCACACAGGCCCAGGGTGGTGTCGTTAAGATGGCACATTGGGGGCGTCTGGGTCCTGGGAGCCCCGTTCTGCCCCGAGTAAAAGGTGGTCGCTCTGTCTGGGTCACGCCCACAAACCACGACCGGAGGAAAGCGGGTGATCTTGCTTTGCTGGTTTTCTCTACAAGTTGCAGGTGGTTGGAGTCGGGTGATGTGGGTGGATCGTCAACCATAGGTAAGGCAGAGGGCTCCACCCTTCCGTCTGGGTTCCTGATACACAGACTCAAGGTTCTTCCATCACTTTGAGAGTATGGACGGGGCCGGGCGATTCTCCTTCATCTGTACACCCCTTCCCACCCCCGTGTGAAATATTTTCTCCTATTTAATAACCTAACACAGAGACCACAACACGATGGGGGGAAATGGGGGAAGAACGGCTTCTTCCCATCCCGGCTTCTCCACTGCATCTGTTGTGATGACTTGTACAAACGCGCGTCCGTACCTTTCCAGTGTCACAGGTGAGGCCACCGAGTCCTAGACCGCCTAGGTGCCTCGTGCGGTGACACAGTTGCTAAATGATCGGACTGGGCTCTGAAGCCGAGGCCCGTGGTGTTTCTAGTTTGTGCTAAGCCGTGTCTGAGGAACGAAGGACCAGCTTATTTTAGTCTGTGCGTAAGTTCTATCCAGGAGGTGTTGTGGATGAGGGCTGCGGACTCCGCCGGTCCTTTCCAGGAACTGCTCTGCTGGCCGGGGTGACGGTGAGGGTGGTACTGGCTGGTGCTCAGGATAACAACAGGCGCTTACCCACAGCAGCGGGTGCCATGTCGAAGCAGGGCCTTATGGTCTGTCGCTGTGGACGGCCAGACTGTGACGCTCGGCTAACTGCGGGCAGGAGTGTTCGTGTTTGCAAACTCAGTTGTCTTAGACGGAGCTCTGGGCCCGGGGTTTAGTTCTGCTAATGCCCTGGAGGAGAATTTGGACATCCCTGTGGGCCGAGGCTTCTTACCTTTTGATGGACTTCCTCATCACCCAGGCCTCTTGTTAAAAATGTAGATTCTGGGGCGCCCGTGGGGCTCCGTCAGTTAAGTGTCCGAATTCGGATCAGGGCGTGATCTCACGGTCTGTGGATTCGAGCCCCACGTCGGGCTCTGTGCTGACAGCTCAGAGCCTGGAGCCTGCTTCAGATTCTATGTCTCACTCTCTCTCTCTGCCCTTCCCCTGCCTCCCGCTCTGCCTCTCTCTCGCTCTCAAAAATGAATAAACATTTAAAAACAGATTCTGATTCAGAAGGTCTAGGAGGGACCCTGCGGTTCTGCGTTTCTAACCAGTCCTTGGATGTAGACCAGGGGACTGTGCTTTCAGCAGCGAGGACCTGGGCATAGTCAGTAGCGCACAGTATGTGTGTATGTGTGTGTGTGTGTGTGTGTGTGTGTGTGTGTCCGTGTCCGTGTCCGTCCCCTTTGCTCCCCTGCTCTTAGCACACGTCACCCACAGCCCTGGCTTTGTGTGTTTTCTGCTGAGCCTCCAGACTGCCTTTCCAGCGCCGCCGCTATCAATTTGGGTTGAACTTGATTTACCACCTGACTCTTGTGTTTTCTGAAGACTTCAGCCTCTGGTCCGCTGCACTGTCACAGAACAGAGAGAGCTCGTGGCCTGAGCATCATCAAGAAGAGTCTTGAAAACACTCCCTCCCTTTCCAATCATTCTTGCTTCGTTCTCTAACAGAGCACAGTTCTCCCCACCCCCAAGTACAGTGAACTTATTAGTACGAAGCCTTTTTGTTTTTCAACGTATACGGATATAAGCTTCTCAGAAGCAGATTTTTGACCCAGGAATTTCCCCTCCAGTATCTGTGCACGGAGCACATCCAGGGATCCTGATTCATGTGCAAAGAGTCATTTACGGCACCGTGGCGTCAGACCCAACCTAGACAGGGGAGGAGTAAAGTGGATTTGGGCTCAGAATATCCAGCCAGGCTGCTGTGTCGCACAGACTTGCAAAAGCCCTTTTCTAAAGAATATTTCATGATTCAGGAGAACATAATATGATAGTTGGAAAAAAGGCATGCACACCTCTCAAAAATAAACATTAAAAAAAAATTTTTAAAGGGTCCCCTGGGGGGGCACCTAGGTGGCTCAGTCACTTAAGCGTCCGACTTCGGCTCAGGTCATGATCTCACGGTTCATGAGTTCGAGCCCCGTATCAGGCTCTGTGCTGACAGCTCAGAGCCTGGAGCCTGTTTCGGATTCTTTGTCTTCCTCTCTCTCTCTCTCTCTCTGCCACTCCCTGGCTCTTACTCTCTCCTTCTCTCTCTCGAAAATAAAAATAAAAACATTAAAAAAAGGGGGGGCGCTGGGTGGCTCAGTCAGTTAAGCATCTGACTTCAACTCAGGTCATGATCTCGCAGTTCACAAGTTCGAGCTCTGTGCTCACAGCTCAGAGCCCGGGGCCTGCTTGGAATTCTCTCTTCCCCTCTCTCTGCCCCTCTCCCACTTGTGCATGCACATACATGCTATCTCTCAAGATAAATTTTAAAAAGTTAAAAAAAAAAAAAGAAAAAGAATTATACAGTTAGAAAATCCACACGGTGTTGAAGTTCAGAAAGTTTGGCCTGAGGTGCTTTTTATTTTCTTGACGCCTTAACAGTATTTTTCACATTTCCTGAAATGAACACATTTTACTTGAATGGAAGGCAGATGCAACGAGCAGTATTGGGGCGCTGGGCAGGTCAGCCCTGGAGCCCCAGGCGGGGTCAAGCAGTGGGTGCTGAAGGGCAGGTGGGAATTGAGTGTTTTCTTTCTGGATGGCAACGTTGAGAGCTGATGTATCATCAAAGTAACAAAAATAGGGGCGCCCGGGGAAGGGAGGGGATTTAGTCAGTTAAGCATCTGACTCTTGATTTCGGCTCAGGTCGTGATCTCGTGGTTCATGAGAGCGAGTCCCATGTCTGGGACTCTCTCTCCCTCTCCCTCTCCGCCTGCCCACACTCACTTTCACTCGCGCTCTCTCTCTCTCAAAAGTAAAGTTAAAAAAAAATTTTAAGTAGCAAAAATAAATAATGCAGTGCACGGAGAGCACGAAGGCATAGTGGTTCACCACTTCCCAGGACCGGAAGGTAGCGTGTTGTTTTTTTTAGGTCGTGGAAGGATTCCTGAAGGTGTGGAGTTAGGTTTCCACAAAGGTGCTCGGGGCCAATCACGGACAGAGGATCAGAAGCTTTAGTGTTTACAGCAGGCCCTCCCCAAAGTCTACACGGCCTCTCTCACTCACAAAGTGTTACTCACACGGTCCCGGGCTGTGGATTATAATGAATAGCAGTTATGACTTAGTAATACCTGGAGAATGAATGAATGAGCCAGTGAACGCAGGACCATTGGAGATCCCGGTGGGGGCGTGGGGGTGGGGGGTGGGCCAAGCAGCTTGCTCAAGGTTTGCTCAAAGCCCTGCGTGGTTTTTCTGTTCTCTGCTCCTCCTTAGGCAGGCGAATCAGGGAGATTAGAATGTTGGGGGTGGGGAGTGTGTCCCCACCGTGCCCTGTCGCCCTGGGCAGGACTGAAGCTGGCTAGGTGCCTGCAGCCGCCCAGGGCCTCTGCCTGGCCCTCCCCCAGCCCCGGGAGACCAGATGGCTGGGCACAGGTGGTGGTGATCTGGCGCCACCCAGTGGAGGATTCTGGTCCTGCAGCCTTGGGGTGGGCTGCCTGGATATTGGATAAATGGGGTCCACCTGACTGGGGGCTGGGGCGTCAGAGGCTGATAGTCTTGCTGGCCTTTGCGGAAGGAAGCACAGCCTGGTCTGCCCCCTGCCTGCCCGCCCTCTCTGATCCCTGTGCCCGTGGGGTGGGGGTCAGGCAAGGGATCTGTTCCCACCCCCCAGAGCCCAGGCCCTTTGATGATCAAAGTTGCCCTGGCTTCCCGTGAATGTCCCCCAGGAAGACCCAGGAGAGGGGACAGGGGGTGGGACCGAGGGCTTGGAAACTGAAGGGTCCCCTTGGAGAAGGGAGTTGGAGATAGACCCATCTCCCCAGGGGCTCTCCCCTTCAGTCCAGTAGCCCCTGTTGCACACTGGGCGTCTCCTCCTCAGCCAAGGCACTGACCTGCAGGCGGACAGAGCCCTGCCCGGCCCGGCCCGAGAAGGCAGGAGATAAACGTGTGTTCTGGGGACCTGGCCGGTGGCGGTGGGCGATGGTGGACATGTCAGTGTCGGGCCTCCTAGGAAAAGGTATATATGCCGAGACTGGACAAATGAGTGAGGCTTTAGCTTGGCACAGGGCGGTGGCAGGGAACAGCCTTCCGGGTGGAGGGAACGGCACATGTGGGTGCCCAGCGGGGGAAGGAGGAGAGAAGCCGCAGCGACGGAGAGAGGGCTGTGGTTTATGGGTCAGCGGGTGTCAGGAGCGAGGAAGGTGGGCTGTCCGGGTCTGCATAGGCCTATTGTGAGGAGTGTGGGTTTATTCTAATAGTACAAGGATGCCATCGAGAGGCTTCGTTCTGGGTCCCGGGGCTGGGAGACAGGGTCAGAAGGCGTGCAAAGCCTGGGCTTGCATGTCAGGTGGGGAAGTGCAAAGCAGTGCACCCAGCTCTCTGTTTGCGGGCTGCCACCCCTGTGGGTCCTCCGCGCATAGTAACAGCAGAGTGGCCCGGGCGAGAGAGCAGGACACCAGGCTGGGGAGGGACGCTTCAAAAAGGAGAGGAACTTTCTAGAATCATAGGCAAAAGACATTTAAAGAACAACAGCAGCAACAAACTTTTATTGGGGCCCCTGGGTGGCTCAGTCGGTTAAGCGTCGACCTTTGATTTCAGCTCAGGTCACCATCTCGCGGTTCGTGGGATCGAGCCCTGTGTTGGTCTCTGTACTGACAGCGCTGAGCCTGCTTGGGATTCTCTCTCTCTCTCTCTCTCTCTCTCTCTGCTCCTCCCCTGCTCACGCTCGCTCTTTCTCTCAAAATAAGTAAACTTCACAAAAATGATGAAACGCTTTTATTATGGACACTGGCAAACATTTAGAAAAGTAGAAGGAATATTCTAATAAAGTACCACGGACCAGCCATTTAACTGCCGAAATTACTCGACCCATCTTGTTTCATTCATAGTCCCGTTCTTACCCCTGACCCCCCACCCTTGCCCACCCCCGGATTATTTTAAAGCAAATTCCTGACTTACTGGGAACATTTCAGATGGTATCTCTGTAGGAGAAGACATGACCTCAATATCATTAGCCTCCTTAGGAGTTAAGTCGGTTCCATCATCTAAAATACATCATTCATATTCAAGGGGCGCCTGGGTGGCTTAGTCGGTTAAGCGTCCGACTTTCGCTTAGGTCATGATCTCGCGGTTCGTGGGTTCGAGCCCCGCGTTGGGCTCTGTGCTGACTGCCAGCTCAGAGCCTGGACCTGCTTCAGATTCTCTGTCTCTCTCTCTCTCTGACCCTCCCCTGCTCACGCTGTCTCTCTCTCTCTCCTAGAAATAAATAATAAAAAAAAAAAAATAAAAAAAATAAAATAAAATACATCATTCATATTCAGACTCCACATGAGTCCGCATGGTGTCTAATATTGCTGCCTTTCTCCCGAGTATCAAGTCCATTCCCCTTTTACAGGTGGATACATTGGTTGCTGTATCTTTTTACTCTCTCCCTCTCTCTCTTGGCTTTATTGAGATGTAATTCACGCAGCCATTTATAATGAACAATATTGCATGACCATCATTAACATCCGTTTTAGAGCTCTTGCGTCAGGTGGCGAAGAATCCCCCAAAGTCTTGGGCACACCCGCTAATCTGCTTTCTGCCTGTCTCCATAGATTAGCCTCTTTCTGCTGGCATCTCACAGAAGTGGAATGGCACCCTCTGGTGTCTTGTGTGTCCGGCTTCTTTCACTGACAACAATGTGTCAAGGTCCATGAACATTGCAAGTGTAGTTACACGGTGTTCCTTTTTCGTGGCCACATAGTATTCCATCGTAGGGAGCTCCCATTTCATCTCCTCTATGGCTTTAGCTTCCTTTACTCTAGGCCGCCTTACCCACACGTGTTCTTCTATCTTGGTGGTTCTTTTTGGGAAGAGTCCAGGTCAGTTAAAGAGTGACCCGCATGCAGGTCCACTTGTTTTCTTGTGCTTAGGCTCAGGGCTAGCGTTCCGGCAAAGATTTCTATGTCCTGGGGCTTCCCGGGTTAGCACCCGACCAGCGATGCAGAGTTTGAGCTCCCGGTTAACGCGATGGCCCCTTTGCAAGGGCATCTTTTCCCTTTCTAATTAGCCAGTAATCGGGGGGGGGGGTTGGGGGGGGAATAAGGGTTCTTTCGGTCTTTTCACTCAGTGCTTCAGCATCCCTGGTGACCGTGACCGGAATCCATTTTGACTTTGGGGTTTGCAAATGGCAATTTTCTGATGCCTTAACCATTTTTATGGGCATTCTTCTGTAAAAAATAACATCCTGCATTCCCCCTCCTTTCGCTGCCTTTTGAAGTTACTCATCTGCAGTCATTATTCACAATCATGCTCAAATTGTCCCAAATTTGGCTTGTTGGAGCCTCTCTCTGCTGGCACCGGGTCGTTCAGAGAGACCACGTCATTCTTTGCCCGGTTTCTTACCTCCCAGCACAATAGAATGTTCCAGATCTATCTGGCATCTGGAATGAGCCATTTCTCCAAGGGATGCGGTTCCTTTTAGTATGGAATAGTATTTAGATTTTTAAAAAATGTTTTATTTATTTCTGAGACACACACACACACACACACACACACACAGCATGAGCAGGGGAGGGGCAGAGAGAGAGGGGGACACAGAATCTGAAGCAGGCTCCAGGCTCTGAGCTGTCAGCACAGAGCACGATGCGGGGCTCGAACCCACAAACCGTGAGATCATGACCTGAGCAGAAGCTGGACGCTTAACCGACTGAGCCACCCAGGCGCCCCTGGGACAGTATTTAGAAACCACTTCTAGCTAGTAGGTTTCTCCCTGCGAGGGAGGTGCCATTCCTTCTGGGCCCTTTTGTGACGAGTTACAGGGGTGTGTGTGTGCGATGTGTGGATGTATATGCCTGTATACATGTAGTGCATATACATGACGCATATCTTTGGAGCTGATATTGAGACAGTAGGCGCAGGCCACCGGCAGCAGGCACAGAGCCCGAGCTGCCTGGAATCCCCGTGCTCAGCTCAGATGGGACTGAGCCCTCCAGGAAGGCCCCCCCCCCGCCCCCGCCCCCACCATCAGTGCTATTACTTGCGCTCCTGTCCTGGCCCCAGTTACAGGGAGGAGGGCGACCTCTGTGTCCAGCCTCATTCCACAGAGGCCGCAAGCCTCAGTATCCCCATCTGTGCAATGGAGGCGGTGCCTCTGAATTTGCAGAGACTGAGGATTAGGCAGGTGTGTGTACGTCCGATGCCTAGGCTGGTGCCTTCCTCCTTCTGAGTCCACCCCCCCCCCCCCCCCCCCCCCCCCCCCCCCCCCCCCCCCCCCCCCCCCCCCCCCCCCCCCGCCCAATCCCCATCCAGCATCGATACGGAGACTGGTTGCTAGTGCGTTAGCTGCCCAGCCCGGTGGGCGGGGTTCGGAGCGTGGTGGCAATGTGTGTCGACGACAGGGAGAGTCCACACGGGGAGCGTGCCTGGCTGGATTTGTCTGACCAGTGCCGCTGCACGGATGAATCTGCAAGAGTTCTCTGCACCTGTCAGAGGTTGGTGGCATTTGAGGTCCAGCCACGTGGCCTCTGTCTTCCTCCCGGGTGGCCCAGTTTGGGCAAATGCCCTGGGGTACAACTGGTATCTTGGGATTGTTCAGGGGAGGTGAAGCGTTGTTGCTTTGGAAATGTCCGTCGAAGTCTGGGGCGGCTGCCGTGGCTGCCGTGTGGGGGCCTGGGTGAACGACACCACGGAGATCAGTGTGTCCCCAAGGGAGGCCCCCGGCTCTGCTTCAGAGGCGCTGGCCCACTGATTGCTGCCGGCTCAGCCCCAGGAGGTGTGGCAGGGACCCGATTTGGCCACAAATCCCTCCAAAGCCAGTCCCTCCAAAGCCTGTGGACGTTGATAGCAGCCAGTGCAGCCGAGGCTCAGAGAAGTCCCGTTCCTTGGCAGGCAGGGTGTCCGGGCTGCTGAGTTTATCTCCTCGCCCGTGACACGGATGGTTTATAGAACCCCTTATGTAGCTACACAGTCGGAGTGTATCAGTTTCTATTAACGGACTTTCCTTACCAGCCCGGGTCGATCTGGAAGGGAGGAAAGAAATGAGGGAACCACAAAGAGGGGCCCCATCAAGCTCCCTGCCTTGTGCGATGAGCAGATAGAAAATTGAGGCAGGGCTGACCCCTACTGCCCCCCTCCCCCCCCAGTGCTTCTCATTGCTGGTGGTCTGGGGCTTTGCTGGCCCGGGATTGGGGGCTGCTCCCGAGGCTGGATGGAGAAGCCTCTCTCTCTGAGTTTTTTCTAGGAAAGTCTCGACAACCACATCCTTCGGTCTCACCAGAGAAGGGAGGCTGTGGGTCCCACATCACGCATATAATACCCCCACCACAGTGCCTTGGCACCTCATCCTAGGGCCAGGGCAAGGTGCTGAGCCCCTGGAGACTGAGGCGCTCGGGACAGTCGTTCATTTGCCGGCCACGGGAAGACCTAGAAAAGCAATCCAAAGCCTGAATGAATAAAAGCCACAGCTCGGCTCTGCTGAGAAGTCCCTCCTGCCTCCCACGCCACGGAGGAGGCCGAGCCCGCCCCCCTCGCCCCGCCATGCACATTACCAGATTGAGGATTGGCTGTGTCGGATTCAGAATAAGAAGTCATGGAGGTGGTGGCCTGCTTTAACTCTCTGTTCCCGGGCAGGCGCGAGGAACAGTTCACCAGCAGAGGGCGGCTGAGGGGTTAACTCCCCGAATCAGGGACTGGGAGAAGAGGAGGGGGACCTGGTTTGGAGCAGATCCCTCAGACCCTGTGCTGGAGGCTTCCTCCTATTTGCCTTCAAAGCCCGGGCCCCGGAGCATCTTGGGGTCAGGGCCACCCCTGCCTGCTCTCTTCCCGAACATGGTGACTGAAGGGTTAATGGGAGCTCGAGCGTCCCCCCGAACTTCCCCAGCAAGGGGCTTCCACGCATCCCCCCCACCCCCCCGCCTTCAGGGAGCCTGAAAACAGAAAGCGCGAACGTCCAGGATGGAGAACAGCTTTGATGATGTCTCTCGCCTCTCTCCCCAGAACCTGGGATCCTCATCACCAGGCAAAAAGCAGACCAAGGAAAACACCATCACGGTAAGTGACTCCCCGCAGGTTGGGTGAGAGCGGAGCCCGGGCTTTCCGGGCAGTTGCCATGGCAACGTGGACCACGGTGTGGAAGTCCCAGAGCTCCGATGCAGCCGAAATTCCCCCCGCCTCCCCCCACCCTCCCCTACCTCCACCCCGACCCTTCCCCCCTCTGGGTACCACTCTGGATGCGGACCCAATGCAGGCAGAGTGGGATTCGTGCAGAAGCCATTCGCGCGGGGCGGGCGGGGGACATTCACGTGCACGAGGGCGTGGGAGGGGGTGGCCTGTGCTCCGCGCAAGCGACATGACATGTAAATTACAGCCACAGGGGCTTGCTCTGTGCAGGGTGACTTCTAGAAGGTATCGAAGTTAAAAAAGAAAACAAGAGAAGGCATCCTAAGAATAGAGTTCCTGTCGTGAGCAGGCGGCTCCCGCCTGGGGTGGCCAGACCACCTCCTGGGGCTCTTCCAGAAGCCCGCCGAGCCCCCACGTGCACCCCCTACACACACACACACACACACACACACACCAGCCCCGCGTTGGGGGAAAGCGAGCAAACACGTCGCGGAGACCTGAAAAATGTGGTCTTGGGTCTGCCATTTGGACGCTGGGTGCCACGGAGCCGGGAATGGGGACCTGCCCTCCCGGGCTCTGTGTGGCATGGACTGTTCCAAGCCCTTCTGGCCGCCCCCACGGAGATGACCCCCAGAGTGGGTCCCCTTCCCTGGCCGGTGGGGGCTGCTCAGAGTGCTGCTTTGGAAGAACGAGAGGGCTGTGTGGTGCCCAGTGGCCTCAGAAACAGCAATAGCTGCTACTTTGGTGTGCGCTTATTATGCGCCAACAGTGTTCTGAGCGGCTCATTTCCTCTCCACTCGCCATGTGAGGGGTGGGGGACAGACCCAGTGTTGTATGGTGCTTGTGAATGAGGGCTCTGAAGCCAGGCAGCCCGGGACAGCATCTCTGCCCTTCGGGCCTCAGTGTCCACATCTGCACAATGGGACATGCTGGGTGTCTGTGCCATGGGGATCGTGTGTGGACAAAACGAGTCTGTACACAGAAACCACTTAGAACAGAGCCTGGCACGTAGTAACTGCTCAGTGTCCACTTGCCTTCTCGACCCTGTTTACAGATGAGAAAACTGAGGCACAAAGCCATAAACTTTGCCCGACTGGGAAGCATAGGGATTTGAGACCTGAGCTCTCCCTCTGGGGATGGTCTCAGGCCCCGGGGTGGGGCCCCCGTCACCCACCTGCTGTGCTTGGGCTTTGAGCCAGCGCTTGGGGGCCTCGCCCGGGGTCTCCTCTCCAGCACACCTTGTTCACCGCCCTCCAGCCCGAGTCTTCCCACTGCTACATCTGCTACATCGCTGCCTCTCCGAGCTAGCCTGCGAAGTGCAGTCGGCCGCCGACGCCTCTGGGGACCTTACTTAAAATGCAGGTTCCTCGAATGATTCCTGGATGTACAGTCTGGCTGGTCCGGGGCCCCAGCCAACACCCCCAGAGGTTTTAAAGAAACACTTAAGCCTCCAGGAATGTTTGCTGGAGAAGCTGAGGGGGGGAAGGACTGGCCGGGGGCGAGGAGCAGAGCCACGTCTGCCGCCGGGGTGGCCCCGCCTGTGTCCAGGCCGAGACGGGCGAAGGCCTGTGTGCCATACGGTGCTTGCTCCCTCCCTGCCCTTCCTCTGGGCCCTGATCCTCCAGAGCTCACGGGTAACCCCGCAGGGCCACTGGGAGGGGGGAGGGGGGCGGCCCGGATCCCGGGGTACAGGAAACCTCTGCTGGCAAGTGGGGGCGGGGGGAGCAATCTCCCACCGTGTCGGGGCGGATCCCACGGAGCGGACACGTAACCGCGATTCACCCAGATGCCGGCCTGGCAGCAAAAGGTGGTGCGTGCGGGTCCGGGTCGGGATCCGGGTCCGGGTCTTCGTGGGAGCCGAGGAGCCAGGATAGAGCTTGGTTCTGAGATTCCAGCCGTGACCCCCCCCCCCCCCCCCCCCCCCCCCCGCTGGTGGCCTGGGGCAAGCCTCGGGCAGGGCCAGCTGCAGACGGATTGCTTGATGAGGAATGACAGGCACTAATGGCAGCTCGCGGCCCTCGGCGCAAACACGTGTCAGAATCTGGGCGATCACAGAGAAGAAAACAGCACAGCCACACTCCTGCCCCGGAAAGAAGGTTCTGGGCACACCCGTGGTCCTCGTCTGGGTCGTATCTTTCCTCTTCCGCAGACCTCGGCTCTGACCTTTCCGTGTCCACACCTCCCAGGTCAGCCTCCTTCCAGAAGCAGAGTCAGAGCCAGCTGCCCAGATAGGCGGGTGAGGGACCGTGGCGTCTGCCCTGCACTGCAGCCTCCGCGTGGGGCCGGGACTGGGGGCCGCGGGTGACGTGCTCAGGGACTCCTCGCATCAGCCCCTTGTGAGGGTCGGACCTGTGTTCAGCGGGGAGGGGAGGGGGTGACTCTGTTTATCTGAGGGTTGGAGAAAACAAGAGTTGCTGTCCGCGCGATCGATCGAGAATGGTGATTTCAGGAGGAGCGGCGGTGAGGGAGGCTCCCAGGACTTCTCCCAAACAGCACTCCGTGCTGAGCGCCTGCCTGGGTCGGACCATAGAAGGTAGTGCGACAGAATTAAGTTAAAAGCCAGACCGACCGACTTCAGGCTGTGACTCCGCCGGCACACACAAGCTGTGTGATGTTTCATAACTTACCTAACCTCTCTGTGCCTCAGTTTCCTGCTCTGAAGCATGGAGATAATAGAGCACCCGCCGTACTGGGTGACGATTAAGTGAGGCGGTACGTGTAAAGCAGTCAGAACAAGGTCTGGCATTTTATTAGCTCTTATCAGAGCAGAAGGTGGCTCCTTAGGACGTCCCCCCGCGTTTGCTGGGAGGAAGATGTCCTTCAGGCTCTGGCTGTGCCCGGGAGGCGCTGGGAGGAGGACTCGTCGCTGGGGAGCCTCCCTGGTGGCCCTGGTCGGCGTCCGGCCTCAGTTCTGACTGCCCCCTGCCCCAGTTGCTTCGCATGGTCCCCACCTGTGCGGTTCAACCTCAGACCTCGGGTCCTTTCCCCCAGTACAACTCTCTGGGTCTCCCTCCTCTCCTCTCATGGAGCAGACCCTCCGGCGGGAAGAGAGATGCTAATTAAGCAGTCATGAGAAGTGCAATTAGAAATGCACGTGTGCAAAGCGCTGGAAGGATCTAGCAGAGCGCGTGGCACAAAGTAGCCACTCGACAGACGCTTGCATGGGAAGTGGACGAGGAAGCCCCCCCCCCCCCCGCCCACGGCTCTGTGGCTGAGGACTTGAGCCCTGTGGTCAGCCCAGCTCGGATTCGGACTTACTCTTATATCTGATCCTGTTTCTTCATGTAAAATGAGGCCCGTGTTACCCAGCTGGCAGGGGTGCTGAGATGCTGACCTGGGAATGCACGCAAGGCTCTGGTCGGGCTAAGGGCTGTCCTGTGATTCCGGGTGGTCACAGAGGCCTCCTGGGGTGGGTGGGGGGAGGGGAGGAGAGGGGAGGCCAGCGGGGTGCAGTTCTCCAGTCGCCCACCAGGGGCTCCGTGAGCATTGGGGAAACCCCACCTTGGACAGGTGGGAGCCAGCCATCAGCAAACCAGAGTTGATAGAGGTGGGGACAGGCCCCCTGGGGCCCCCAACCAGTCTGTCCTCACAAAGTGGTGGGAACAACACCCGCCTCCCCCAGCCCAGCCAGCTCCCCGTCTGTGGTTGTGATGGGGCCATTTGTGGGACCCCTCTCCTCCAGACGCCGACCGGGCACCCGAGAAGACACTCGAGTCCACTTCCGGGCACCTCCATGCCCCCCTAGCCCCGTGATCCTTAAGGCCCAGTCTGACGTCATCGCTAATTTGTCATTAGATTTGGTTGAAATTTTCACGGACCACATTATTAAGCGAAATAAAGATGCCCCGTGGTCGAGTTATCTTTGGAAACAGGAATGGCCAGAACATGAAGTAAGGACTGTGTGAAACTTTGGGATCCAGCGCTCGTTTCCGTGATTTGACCGGAGACCCACGCGGCAGTGGGTCGTCGACGCCCCGGAAGGAGACTCCCCTCTGGACTCGCCTTGAGCGTCGGCCTGGAGAGAGGGTTGGGGAGACCGTTGCTGGATGCTGGGCGTTGAGAGGGCGGCCCTCCCTCACCGCCTACAGCAGGGAGCTGCAGGCCAGTGACACCTGGGGGTGGAAATCCCCCCCCCCCCAGCAGGTCCCTCGAGCCTGCACCTTGACCTTGGCGGAAATCAGTGCTCCTCGCCTCTGGGGTTCTCTGGCTCATTCCTGCCACTCGATCTTTTCCTTCAGAATAGGAATCTCGGCCGTTCCTTCCACCAGGGCTCCCTGTCCTTGGCTGGGACGTCTCCCAAGCTCGTCTCCTGGGATTACAAGGAAAGCTTCTGCCCCTGGAAGCAGGGAGGCGGAGGGCACGGGGTAGGGGTGGGGGACTCTAGATGGATTTCCAGCCACCCTCAAGTCCCTGAACCCGAGGACATGGCTGGGGGGCCGCTGGGGGCCCCACTGGGCTTGCAGAGGAATTGGTTTGTTGACTTTGTCCTTATTGTCATAATCATTAACTCTGAATCACTTGCCAGCATTTAAGCATTGAGACGCTTTGCCTAATAATCCCCGTTTTCGGCTTCTCTGGAGTCGTATCACCTGACGGCACACCGGGCTGGATGCTGGAGGCTCAGGCTGTGTGTTGTCGTGCTGACTCGACAACAGTCGCAAGAGCTAGGAGGGATCCGCTGGTTACACGCATCTCCACAGACCCCGCCCCTTCCCAAAGCCAAGGCCGCTGCCCCCTTCCCCCCTCCCCCGCCCACTGCAGTTTCTGAGCAGGTGGTCCCTGTACCTTGTTCGTTCACACGGCCGCCCAGCTTTGGACTTGATGGCCTCTGTCCAGAACCCTGGGGTTTTCTTTTCCTTTTTGAAAAAAATTTTTTAGAAGTTTATTTATTTTGAGAGAGAGAATGCAAGCAGGGCGGGGTCAGAGAGAGAGGGAGAGCGAGAATCCCAAGCAGGCTCCATGCTGTCAGTGCAAAGCCTGACATGGGCCTTGAACGCATGAACCGTGAGATCCTGACCTGAGCTGAGATCAGGAATTGGAAGCTTAAGCGACTGAGTCCCCCCCCTGCCCCGGGGGCGCCCCCAGGACCCCTGGGTTTTCTGCACAGCCCTTACCTTGAACATCAGACGGCTCCCCACCACAGCCCCTGCTGGCTCCGCGGTGGGGGTGGGTAGAGTCTGCGGGGCTCGGACCCTTGCCTCCCCGAGGCTCCAGCCGAGGCTCCCACGAGGGACAGGAAGCAATGGGCCCCGGGGGAGTGGATCCCGGGCTCGAAACGGGCCCAGCGGGAGGGCCGCTAAAACCGCCAGGTGCGGAGGACAAGCTCGGGCAGAAGGAGTGTGAGACGGCGCAGGAATGTCTGCGCTGCCCTCTCCTGGACAGGAGCCAGCCCCGAGCACGCACCCCGGACCATCCTTTCACACGCTCTTTGTTCGTGGAATAAAGACGGTGAAATAAAACCCACAGGGTAGGGGTAACCTGTTGCCCTGACCCTCAGCCACGGAATTAATTCCTTTCCCTGGAAGCAAGCGAGGTTATCGGCTTCCAGAAGGATCCTGTACGTGAATAACCCAACTGTGTGCGTGTTTTCTCTTCCTCTCTCTCTTCTCTCTTTCTTCCTGTGCAAGTGGTATTACACTCTCAGTGCCATCTCACACCTCGAGCTTTTCTTCCCCACCCGGCGCCCCGTCCGCAGCTGCGCGGAAGAACTTTCTCCTGGTGTCTTGGGCTCTCGATGCAGACCCCACGGATGCCTCTCTGCCCCACGGTTGTGTTTTCGCTCCTGCAAACTTGGGTGCTGGCAGACACACCGTGTACACACATGCGGATCCAGCCGTAGGGGGTGGTCTTTGATGAGCAGCCCCGGGGTCGGAGGCTCAGGCTGTGTGTGGTTTTCTTGGGTCCTGTTACCGCGCTGCCTTCCAGAGAGTTCCGACCGATTCCAGCCCCTCGGGGGCGGGCGTGGGTGCCGTTCATTCAAAAAACACGAGCCTCCCAAGGTCGCCATGCACGTTCTATCGAGCGGGCACCCGAGGGGAACATCTGTAATGCTGTGTCCCGGGCTCAGGGCCTTCCCAGCGGCCCCCAGCCTTCCAGACAAGTCACTTCCTCCCTCGTCCTGTGCCCTGCAGATAAACTGCGTGACATTCCCTCATCCGGACACGATACCAGAGCAGCAGCTGCTGAAACCAACGGAGTGGAGCTATTGTGACTACTTCTGGGTAAGTGGTGCCTCGGTTTCCCCCGCTCTGTGACTGCCCCTCCCCCCCCAGCAAAGATCAGGAGTGGACCCGCAGAAGGGGCATGAGGGGCCTCGAGCTCAAAGAAGAGGGTCCCCTTAGGTCTCAACAGGAGATTTGGCATCCGAGGCAGGAATTTAAGCCCCTCTTGGGAGTCCAGATCTTTCCATAAATCTCAGAGAATCCACAGGATTTTCCTGCGGGGCCACATGGAAGCAAAGTCTTGGGCAGAATGCACATAAACCTGAGGGTCACGCCTTTGCTGGACACCTTGGGCAAACGTTCTGCCTCTCTGGGCGGCCTCCCTGCTTCCATCAGTGATGAGGAGGTCGAGGGCAGGGATTGGTAGAGGGCTCCACCTTGAGCAGCTGTGCTTCTAGAACTTTTGCATCCCATTTACTGAGTACGGAGTTTCAGTTTTGCAAGGTAAGAAAAAGGTTCTGGAGAAGGACGCTGCTGATGGTCGCGTGGGACCATGGACTTGAAGCCACCGAGCGGCATGCTTAAAAACGGGAAGGTGGGAAATTTTATGCGAAGTGTATTTTCTCCACAATTAAATAAATACCTTTTGACAAATGCGAAGCCCACCTGCCCAGACACCCTGGGAATAGTCGGCATTTGCATCTGAAAGTCAGCAAGGACTTTGACACCGAGATGGGCCCCTTCTGGATTCGCGTGGTGGTGACGGGTGCCCAACCTGGTGACCTTGTTAAAAACCACTCAAGTGTACGCTTTGGGGAAAAAATGAAACCGTTTGCAGAGACCCTGAGGAACAGTAAGTAAACAGAATAAATAACTGTTTCACTACCATGCGGAATGGATGACTACCCTTTTTTAGATTTGCTAATAACCCAGCACTAGACAAAAGTGCTTCTGTTCTGTTAACGAGTCACTTGCACTCGAAGACACCCAGTGAGTCCTCTTGACCCAGCTGTGTTTCTTCCAGATGCTGGAGGTCCATGCAGGGGTGTCAGACATCGTGGGGAGGGCTCTGGGGGGGCATCAGAGGCCTGAGGGGCTGAGCTCAGAGGTGACTCACAGTGAGCAGGGGACGGAGCGTACGCTCCGTAGGCGCTGGGAGCTCGCTGGTTTGTATTCTGTTTGCAGTCGGAAGATGCGGGAATGCAATGGGATCTAGTTTAGAAGCGTCGCGCAGGTAGGGCTGTGAGCGGGCAAGGGCGGGGGGCAGCAGCAGGTGCGGGGGCCCAGGAGACTCGAGGACAAGTGGCTGAGCTTATAGACACTCAGCTATTGTGTGGGGGCACCTGGGGGCCCTGGGGACCCAGAGGGGAGCGAGTGGCCCTGCCCCTGGCCGGCATCCAAGAGCGCGACATTTCTGTGTTCTCATCCCCATTCAGGCTCCGCTGGGACCCTGCCCCTCACTCTAGGGTTTTTTTTCCCCAACCACCATCTTTTCCGCTTAACGGAAATCTCCCTGCTGACACGGTCATTGAAGCCCACCTCTTCCGGCTGGTTTTCCCCAGTGTGGACAGATTGCCTGGCTCACCCATCCTGTGTGTGGGAGGCAGATTGAGGTTTGGTGCTTTGGGAGATTTTTCTTTTTCTTTTTCTTGAATTGTTCTTAAGTTTATTTATTTATTTTGAGAGAATGCTTGCGCACATGCCTGTGATGGGGGGGTGGAAGAGAGGGAGGGAGGGAGAAAATCCCAAGCAGGCTCTGTGCTCCAACCCACAAACCCCGAGATCATGACCTGAGCCGAAATCAAGAGTCAGATGCTCAACTGTCTCAGCCACCCAGGCGCCCCTCTTTTGGTTTTTTCTCAAGGTGAAGTGCACGAATCTTAGACCTGGAGAAGGGGCACCTGGGGGGCTCAGTCAGTTAAGCATCCGACTTCGGCTCAGGTCATGATCTCACGGTTCGTGGGTTCGAGCCCCTGCGTCGGGCTCTGTGCTGACAGCTCAGTTCCTGGATCCTACTTCACATTCTGGGTCTCCCTCTCTTTGCCCTTTCCCCCACCTCGCTCATACTCTTTCTTCCAAAAATAAACAAACATTTAAAAAAAAAAAAAAAAAAGACACACCCGGAGAAGCTTTTAAATGGCCAGGGCCACTTTGCTTAGACATGGTATGTTTTGTGTGGTAGTGATCTCCCCGTCACAAGAGGTGTTAGCAGTGTGGCCCAGAGGGCTTCAGCTAAGGATTGGAGACCCCATATTGGGAGAGAGTTCTAGGGGAGGGGGGCGTCCATAGACTTTTCAAATGCTTGACGATGGGAAGCCGGGTTCTCTCCGGGAAGCACCCACCCTTTTCTGAAATTCCCTTCCCTTAAAGGGTTATTCCCCTAAAGAATAGCCCAGTCTTATTGCAAAGGTAGAGGGCGTAGAGGGGACGGAGCCTATAGGATTGGAAAGGCCTGGGCGCATCACCCGGTGGCTGAGCTGAGGCAGGGATCAGGTCTGTTGGACCCTGTGACAGGGTCCTTATCGATGTACCTGTCTGACTTCAGAGGATGTGTATTTAACGCCTTCCGTGAAGTCCCGCAGCAGTGGAGTCTGGATTCCTGGTGGGGAAAGGCGTAGTGGGCGACGCGGGTGTACGTGGGGTGCCGGCCAGCGCCTGGGAAGTCGCCCAGAGCCGGGAAGAGCCTGGTGGGGCCCAGGCGGGAGGCAGAAGGGATCCTGGAGGCGGTGTGGGTGAAACAAAAGAAAACATTGAACTCTGAGTATTTGCTTGCAGAAGGAATCCCATTTCGTTCACTTGGCCGTCTTCCCCGAGTCCTGACTTATTTAAAAAGTAACTAATATTAGGGGCAGCTGGGTGGCTCGGTCCCTTAAGCGTCCGTCCGACTCTTGATCTCGGCTCCGGTCGTGATCTCACAGATGTCGAGTTCGAGCCCCGTGTCGGGCTGGGCGCTGACGGTGCAGAGCCCGCTTGGGGTTCTCTCTCCCTGTCTCTCCCCTTCCCCATCTTGCTCTCTCTCTCTCTCAAGACAAATAAATAAACGGAAAAAAAAGTAACTAGTATTAGATACCACGCAACGAGCAGTGAGTCGGTGGGGAGCCTGTGCTAAGCCGTTTCCATAGGTCATTTATCGTGAGATGGGTGCCAGCATCTCCCCAGCCTCCCAGGTGAAGCAGCTCCCCAGCTGGGCTGTCCACCCTGGCAGCCTGCCCTTTGCCAGAACACTCTGGCCTCCCTTCAATCTGGTCTCTCCCGGAAGCCACTGCGATCTTTGGTGAATGTGCAGGAGAGGATTGCCCCTTCCCGGCCAGTGCGGGAGCTGACGGGAGGGCTTAGGGTCTGGCTCACCTGCCCCCCCGCCCCCTCCAAGGCCATAGACTGTCCCAGCTTAGGGTCAGGCCACCAGGACTCCCCAGAGCCCCCCGCCCCCAGTCTGGTTGGGAGCAGTAAGCCCTGGGGCATCGATGCCTGCGGTCCTGGCCGCCTGCCTTTTCTCCTCTTCCCTAGGCTGCCAGGATCAAGGGTCATGGGGGTGGGGTGGAGGTGGGGTGGCGGTGGCCGCGGGGCTCGTGGGGGCAGGGTGCATCAGATGACACGCAAGCTGGGGGCAGGGGACACACACAGCCCCCTTGGGCTGAGGTCTGCTTGCCAGGCGCACCCGGGTCCCTTCCGCGGGCCCTTCCCTGCACCCCGGACATCTCGTCACCCAACCTCTCCCATGCTTCTGTGTCCTCTCCAGGCTGATAAGAAGGACCCTCAAGGCAATGGCACCATGGCTGGGTTTGAACTGCTCCTTCAGAAGCAACTAAAGGGCAAACAGATGCAGAAGGAGATGTCAGAATTCATCCGGGAGAGGTAAGACCGGGGCCCCCTCCCAGCTCCCGAGATGGGTCACAGCGCCTCCTTGACCCCTGAGCCTGAGGTCAGGGGGAGAGCGGCTGGGATGAGCCCTCTGCCCGCCCAGCGACCAGGGGAGCGCGAGGCCGGAGGCCCCAGCTGTGGCTCTTGGGACGAATGTCACCTCCAGATGCGTGGCTTTGGCCTGTGCGGTATTTTTAAGGCTTGAACCATAAACGTTTTAGTTGTTGTTTTTAAATTGGTAGATTTCACGTGACAAGCCGGCTCTCTGGCGTGTCTGGAGAGAATGGCCAGAGCCAAGTGGCAGCCAGCCCCATGGAGGGAGCCACCTTCTGGGTTGCTGGAACCTTCCTCCCCTGCAGGGTCTGCACACAGACTGGCCTGGCTCCTTTGCTGACCTGCGTGGCCCTCATTTGACGCTCTGCCCCCATCACAAGGAAGGAGAACGTTCACTTGTTATTTCATCTCTAAACCAAAGCTGTGTCCCCAAGTTTGACCCTGTTCCTCCATCCTTGCCTTCGGGCGGGGGTGGGGGGGCGGTCAGGCTGACGGAAGAGCCCAGTGGGGCCATTAGGACAGTGCCGGGATTATAAGCGTGGTTTTGCTGAGGGACAGTTTGTGCAAACAGAAAGGAGGGCGCAGTGCACTCGGCCAGATGCACACAGGGCGGATGATAAGAAGTTCCTTCCGCACCTCCTGCCCTTTCAGTTCCTCCGAGCTTAGACCCTGTGAGCTCACACGCACAGGCACACACGCCCACACATCCGTGTGCACACACCACCCCCCACACGTGCACACGCACACGCATGTAGCTTTCCGTCTGGACTTTCCAGGGCACACTGGAGATACTGATGGTAAATGACAATATGTTTAAAAAATTTTTTTAATTATGATAATCCTTTAATAATAATTCTTGGGCGTTTTAAAGCACCTCTTTTCCTTACGAGACACGCCTTCTATTTGTTTGATCAAATCTTTGTTTTAGGACCCATTAAGCTGGCAGGGAGTAGAGAGAATGCCTAGCTCACGGCTCAGCTGCGAGGAAACGATAGTATCAAACAGGAACAGACGGGCATCTGGGGGGCTCAGTTAGTCAAGCACCGACTTCGCTCAGGTCATGATCTCACAGTTTGTGGGTTCGAGCCCCGCGTCGGGCTCTGTGCTGACAGCTCGGAGCCTGGAGCTGCTTCAGATTCTGTGTCTCCCTCTCTCTCTCTGTTCCTCCTCCACTCACGCTGTCTCCCTGGGGAGGGCTGAGCAATGGCCAGGAAGTGACGGAGGCGGTGATAGCCTCCAGCTGGTCCCCGGAGGCGGCCAGAGGTGCCCAGGAGAGCAGAGCTGGGAGAGAAGGAACATGGCTCGGGGGTCTCTCAGGCCAAAGCAGAAAATGATTCTTGCCCAGGACGATGCCACAGGGCTCGGTCAGGCCACCCATTCCCACATCGCCACCCCCTTGGGCCATCTGCCTCGGAGCCACGGAGAACAAGGGCTCCAGCCCCTCAGAGCATCTCTGGGGCTTCCCGTTGGCCGAGCGTCAGGCCCGGGGCTTCTGAGTGGTGGCTCCTGTCCCTGCGACCCGAGGATCACTCAGGCAGTGAATAGTGCCTGTGAGGACACTAACACGGAATGCTCCCCGGAGAGTTGCCTTGAAAGTGTGTCAAGGGCCCACCTGCTGGGAGCAAACACCAAGGCAACTTCCCTCTCTAGGGCGATGGAATCAGCCGCCTGCTCTGAGCACCGCTTGGTTTCCATGGAGATCCCTGTGCCCCGCAGGCTTGCTGGTTAGAAGCCCTGGGAGCTGGGAGGCCGCAGGGAGAGGTGCTGTTCCTTCTCTCGTGGGGTGTCACCGCCTTGGAGGGTCTAAACCCGGAGCGCTGGGGGCTGGACGGGAGGCGAGGCCCACCGCGCATCCCTGGGGGTATCCCAAGTTCCCTTCATTCACCTGAAGCCCTCCCGAGGGTCCAGCCCTGGGCTGGGAGTGTGTGAACCAGAGCCCAGCAGATGGCTGGGAACATCCCGTTTCACAGAAGAAGAGACAGAGGGTCAGAGTTCATTCATTCAGCAGGTATTTGGGGAACACCTGCTGTGTGTCAGACGGTCGGACAAGAGCCTCGAACTGTCCGAGCGTCTGGTCTAGCGGGTTCCTGTACACAGTTCACACGCGGCGGCAAGGCAGCGCGTCAGAGCGCAGTTTCCCGCCGGAGAGCTGACGTGTTGGGTTTTCTCCTTTTTGCAGGATAAAAATCGAGGAGGAATATGCGAAGAACTTAGCTAAGCTCTCTCAAAACTCCTTGGCTGCACAGGAGGAAGGGTGAGTGGGGAGGGGCAGGAGGCAGGAAGGTGGGGGGTGGATTCCTCTTTACGAGATCGCTGCCTCGGCCCCACCTAAATGGGGAAGGCTGCCCGCGACCCCAGGGGCGCGCATCCACGCTCGGGGCGGGGCGGCACCCGTGACCCCAGACGCACGCATCCATACTTAGGGTGGGTACTTTCACACTCTCTGGTGACCAGGGGCCTCCCACCGGATGCTGGAATATGTCAGTGCGCCCCCTGCCCCCGGATCCCGCCTCTGAGGACAGGCTGGGAAGAAGCTGGGTGGGCACGAACCTGTACCCGGCCAGTGTTGAGAGTCCTCTCTGGTGGCCCCGAGGCCCAGGCTCCCCCACCTCTCTGGTTATGACAGTCCTGACCGCCCTGGGCGCCGCTCGGGCTGGGGAAGGCTCACCTGCACCCTCCCAGCCCAGAAGCATCCCCGGTGAGGCTTCTCTGCCTGTCTCCTAAAGAAGACTTTCAGCCTGCCGACGGGAAGGTAGAACGGCGCAGCCACCGTGGAAAACCCTTAGGCAGTGCCTCGCGCTAAACAGAATGGCCCTGTGACCCGGCAGCTGCACACGTAGGTTTATACCCATAAGAACTGAAAACAGACACTCGGACGAGTATGTGTACATGTGTGTGTTCATAACAGCACCATCCACGGCAACCCAAATGGCCATCAGGGTCTGGATGGAGTAGCAAATGAGGGTATGTCCACACTGGTAACGTGGGTATGTGATGGCACGTTATTTAGCCTTAAGAAGCGATCAAGTCCTGATAGGTGCTGCCATGTGGATGAACCTGAAAAACATTACTCTGAGTGAAAGAAGCTGGACAGAAAGGTCACGTGTTGCAGGGTCCTGTTTCTATGAAATGTCCGGAACAGGGAAATCCACAGGGACAGGATGAAGGTGGCTGGTTGGGAGGAGAGCCACTCCCTAATGGGTAGGGCTTTGGGGTGTGTTTTTTTAAAAAATTTTTAAAATATTTATTTTGGAGAGACAGCATGAGTGGGGGAGGGGCAGAGAGAGAGAGGGAGACACAGAATCCGAAGCAGGCTCCAGGCTCTGAGCGGTCAGCACAGAGCCCGACGTGGGGCTCGAACTCACGAACTATGAGATCATTACCTGAGCAGAAGCAGGATGCTTAACTGACTGAGCCACCCAGGTACCCCAGGTACGGGGTTTCTTTTTGGGGTGTGCATTCATTTGCTTGGACCGCTCTCACAGAGAGCTATAGACCTGGTGACTGAAACAGTAGAAGTTTAATGTATCGTGCTGGGAAGGCTGGGAAGTCCAAGATCAAGGTGCCAGTAGCACTGGTGTCTGATGAGAGCTCTCCTCCAGAGTTCCAGATGTGGCCTTTCCCAGCAAGCAGGCTCTCTGGGGTCTCCTCCTACAAGGATCCTATTGGATCGGGCCCCGACCCCTTATAACCTCACAACCTTAATTACTTCCTTAGAAGCCCCATCTCCAAATAACAGCCACGCTGGAGGCTTAGGGCCTCAGCGTATGAGTTGGGGGGGACACGACCACTCAGTACGTAACGGGGTACAGATGTTTTGGAACAAGATAGAGCTGGTGGTTGCAGATCACGGTGACTGCACTCAATGCCCCACAAGACTGTTCTCTTTAAGACCGTTAATTTCACGTAATGTGACTTCCGCCTCGGTAATCAAGACCAGCAGGCTGGGGAGGTTAGAGGCCAAAGTTCCCCCCGAGGCCTCTCCCACCGGTGCGGTCTGTGATGGGACCCTTTCTGCAAGGGGAGCCCAAGGAAGGAGGATGCTGTGTCCTGTGTGGTTGTGGTCGGCGAGCGGCTGCGATGTTGAACACGTCCAGATCCGCCCGCATGGCTTGAAGCTCTCAGGGGATGGGCTGTGCCAACCAAATGTGGCTTTGATTATGGCCCCTGCGTGGGCTCGTGACGCGGCCAAGAGGCTGCCTCTACAGGACTGTCACTGACCCGGTGGGCACGGGGTGGCCCTGGGGGGTCCGGGGCTCCTCTGCAGACAGAAATGAGCTTCCCCCGGGGGCTCCCTCCTGCACCAGGCACTGGGCTCCAGACGGCGCTGTCGGGGGGAGCGGGGAGTCGCCTCTCCGACCCGGCAGGGAGGCGTCCCTGGACATCCCGGTGCCCTGCAACCACAGTGCCGCTCCGGAACTTTCCGGCTGCCGCCTCCTCGGCCTGGGCTGCTGCCAAGGACACTGCATCCTGCTAACGCGCTCAGCATATGCTCCCAGCTACACGAGCCAGGCCCTGGCCACCGCCCCACACGCACACGCGCTGAATAGACACGGGCAGCCTGTCACACGCATGCACTCGCTCGCGTGCACAGACGCCGCACACCTGCACCAGGGGCATGAACGTGTGCCCCGTCGCCACGCACACACGCGCGCACTCCTTCCAGCAGGCTCCGTGGGGTGTGGCGGGGTGGTGAACACATGGGCCCCTCGTAGAAATTTGGGGCAGGCTGGAGCCTAGAAATTTGGGGCAGGCTAGGAACGTGCTGGTGTGGCCAGGGCGGGGGACGTCGGGGTGGCTTTGAGGCTCGAGCACTGTGGCCGCGTCAGAATCAATAGGGTGTGTGCACATTGGATAAATACACAAGATCGGGTTATTTATTCTGCCTGTAGTTGGGTTTTTTGTTTGTTTGTTTTTGTGCTTTTTTGTTTTTTAGGGGGTTTTTTCCCTCGCCTGTGTGGAAAGGAAATGGGATTTGTGTATTTTCTGGTTGGTAATTGAGCCAGGAACATGCGTTCCGATTTGGCATGCCTCGGACGGAACTGCCTCTCCGGTCTGATTTCCTTCATTAACCTCTCGTCAGATGGAAGAATCGGTCTTCAAGTGACAGCGTTTTTAAATTGCTTTTTTCTCCATTGTGAGGTGGCTCGGGGGGGGAGGGGCGGGGGGCTTGGAGGACTTGGGGGGTTTGGTCCCCGCAGCTTTAAAGATTTTTTTTATATATTTTTATTTCTAGGAGAGAGAGAGAGAGAGACAGTGTGAGCAGGGGAGGGTCAGAGAGAGAGAGAGAGACACAGACTCTGAAACAGGCTCCAGGCTCTGAGCTGGCAGTCAGCACAGAGCCCGACGCGGGGCTAGAACCCACGAACCGCGAGATCACGACCTAAGCGAAAGTCAGACGCTTAACCGACTAAGCCACCCAGGCGCCCCGGTCCCCGCAGCTTTGAGTGCCCTGCCTGAAGGTGGGGCCGAGGACCTTGTCCTTCCCTACGGCCGATCCCAGATGACCTTCTCAGGCCACTAAAGCCGTCCCCGGGCCAGTTGCTGACCTCGCGCTCTGCGGACGGTAGACTTAGAGACTCAGCACCGCCGAGGGCCTTTGTGGCTTCCAGGCTCTTGTGTGTCAGGCTGTGAACAGCTTGGTGCAGGGACAGTCCCGCTCTGTCCCCGCCTTTGAGTTCCTGGCCCTCCTATTATATGCAATCCGGCTTTCACCTAGACATGTGCTGCATCTTGAGATAATCTGCACGTACAGGTCAGGGTCAGGGTCGAGATGTCTTCTTTGCCCTGTAGACCCCACCATTCATTGAAAAGACCATCCGCTCCCCACTGAGATGCTGTGTCTGTTTCCAGACCTGGCGTTCTGTCCACATATGTGCCAGCAGCTTGGATCATGCATCTCTCACTCCTCCTCTTCCCTGGAGCGGGGGGCGGGGGTTCGCTCCCCAGCCAGGACCACCCGAGGGGAGTCCTGGATAAGATCCCTCAGTCATTTCCTGAAAGCCCGGTCGGCCTGAGCCGGCACCACAGTCTGACAGGCCTGGACTGTGACCAGAGGGACTGGATATCAGCGGCTGGTGGCCCCCGCTTCAGCCGCGTGGTGTGACGCTCAGCTCACTTCTTTGGAGGAAAGTGGCTTTTGGATACAGTCGAGTCACCGGAATGGTCTGGGGGAGGAGGTATCGAACAGAGACTCCGGGGCGTCCCTTGAAGGCCAGCGAGACTCAGGGGCGCCGCAGAGTGGAGAATGGGGGCTGGGGGCCACACGTGGGAGCCCGGGGGACAGGGTGAGATGCTTCTGCTGGAAACATCTCCTTGGGGTGGAAAGGGGTTCACTGACGGGACTCTACGGCTCTCCGGGAAGTTGTGGGCGGCACCAGTGATCACAGCCCAGAATCAGGACCGGCGGGAGCCACACCTCTTGAGGGCGGGGATGGAGAGCCTTCCCTGCTGCGTGGGAATCTGTGGGGTGTCCCTCGGCACAGGGGTCCGTCCTTGCCCGCCTTGGGAGTCAGGCCGCAGGAGGCCCGCCCGCAGGCAGGGCTGCATGGCACCTTCTGTTTGAGAACCGCTTCTCCCTGAGAAAGTGGCTGTTCTCTGCCCTTGACCTTCCGGCAGGTCATCAGCAGACCAGAGATGGGCTCTGGGGATGCACGGGGGACAGTGGCTGGCAGGTGTCAGGGCCCACCTGCGGCTGTACCCCACCTTCCTCTCTCATCTCCCCCGCCCCCGATTCTCTGAGATTCCGGATGTTTCCCCAGCCGCTGTCTGCCCCCCTCCACTCCTGACATCCTCAGCTGGGGTTGGGGTGGCCCACCGGGCCCCCAGGCTGAAGCGCGCTACTCACGGGCGTTTTCTGCCCCATCCACGTGCCGTCTCTGGTCCGAGGGCAGCGTGGCGGTCTGGGGTCAGGGTCTCACCTTCCTCTTTGGGTTGCAGCTCGCTGGGAGAGGCGTGGGCCCAGGTGAAGAAGAGCCTCGCAGACGAGGCGGAAGTCCATCTCAAGTTCTCCGCCAAGGTAAGCCGCCCGCCCCCGCAGCCCCTCTGGGCCCCTCCCTGCCGCTGAGGGCTCACCGTGGCCTCTCCAGCGCGTCGTCGGCCCCTTTCCGCGGCGTAGATTTCCAGCGTGGGGAACAGAGTCCCCAGCGTCCCATCATCAGCTGCTGTGTCTGCTGTCCCCGTGCAATAGCATCCGTAGCCATGAGTGTCCATCAGGAGCACAGAGGAGAGGAACAGGTTCATAAATGCTTACGTATTTATTACCTTTGTTTTCATTTATTTTTTTGGGTTTTTTTATTCTTGCAAGTCTTATTTTTTATTTTATATTTTCCTTTTTTAATTTATTTTTTAATTCACATCCAAGTTTATTTAAAAAAATTTTTTTTTGAGAGCAATAGAGTGTGAGAGGGGGAGGGGCATAGAGAGAGGGAGACACAGAATCCGAAGCAGGCTCCGGGCTCGGAGCTGTCAGCCCTGAGCCTGAGGCAGGGCTCGAACTCACAGACCGTGAGATCACGACCTGAGCAGACGTCGGACGCTTAACTGGCTGAGCCACCCAGGCGCCCCACTACCTTTGTTTTTAATATGATTTCTTAAGTGTAGATCATATTTAATTTTTAACACCAGCCAGTTTTAACACCCGGCTCACAAAATTCCTACAGATTCTGCGAACTGCCCCAGCACACCTCTGTGAGATGAGTGTGGAACCTCTCTGCTCCTCAGGCAACCCCCCACTCTCACTTTGCTGGGCTGTCAAAGTAATGTGCACATGTTCTTGCTGTCGGGAGAGGCTGGACTGTGCCACGGGGGGAATCTTTTGGTTTTTTGATTGTTGCATAATGTCACACTAGGTAGCTGACCCTTCTTTCGTTTGGTCCCAAAGCTGTGGCACCATGACCTTGAGAGCAGCGTGATTTCTGCCCTCAGTACTCAGGACGGTGATGGGTACACAGTAGATACTTAATATTTTCTGAAAGTAGTGAATGAACAGGGACAACTGACTTGCTTTTTCCAACACCGGTCTTTTAATCCCTACTTTCTCTCCAGATTTGTCAGTATTTACAAATGACCCTGTCCCCCGCCCCCCCCCATGCCATCCTCACCCCGCACCCCCAGCTCATATCTCCAGTTCCTTCTCAGGTTCTCACATACTCTTCATAGGAAAAATAGACCAAGTGTCTAAAATGAAATAATTCATACTAAAGTGTGCGTGACTGACAGGGCTACCCACTAGCATGGTTGTATTTTTTTTTTAAAAATGTTTATCTTTGAGACAGGGAGAGAGAGAAAGAGAATCCCAAGCAGGCTCCGCACTGATAGTGTGGAGCCCAACATGGGGCTTGAACCCACAAACCGTGAGATCATGACCTGAGCCAAAACCAAGAGTTGGACTCTTAACCAGCTGAGCCACCCAGAGTGAGTGGTTGCCTTTTAAGGGAAGAGAGACTGTCCAGAGTGGCACTGTTCCCAGTGGCCTCTGCCTCCTGGGGTCCACACTCTTCACAGTCACCAGAAAGACCCAGCAGCCCAGTGGGGACTCACACAAAGCACTTAAGCTCTGCGCCCCCATTTTTACCCAAAGGCGGCGGCTCCTCTCTGACTTCCGTCCTTGGCACTTCTGATTCCATCGGTTCTCCAGCGCTCTCCGCTTAGGAACGGGGGTCCCCATGGGTTGTGCGCTGTTGCAGGACAGGAATCGGCTTCATACACGCCTCGCCACCCCACCCCTGACGGTCCCCCACACACAGGGCAGAATTAATGGCTCAAAGGGCGAGGACCCACGCGGGGGCTTTATAAAGACCCCGGGGGCGGGAGGAAGAAACTGTTATTGGCTCCCCACTTTGGAAGGATGTTAGCGCCCCGAGATTGGATTGACCCCAGCCGTGAGTGAGATTTTCTGGGCTCCCAGTGAGTAGCTTCGAGCACTTTGCAGGAAATTGGCCAGTCGAGCGCGGGGGCGGGGGGAGGGGCGGGAGGGCTCCACCAAGTATCTTTTTTTCTGCCTCACATACAAAGCAGTGAGTTCTGTTTAAGCTGCTGACCCTGAGGAGCGTTCCCTTCAGGCCTCCCTTCTGTCCCGGCCCCGGGGAGGCAGAAGCTTCTATTGAGGGCAGAGATGGGTGAGAGGTTGCCAGCAAGCGGTGCGGCCGAGTCTACAGGCTCTGAACAGTCACCTGCTGGGTCCCCAGGAGCCCTGGTGCCATCTTCTCCCCGTCAGCCCGACCCCCCGAGTCTTGACTCTTCATAGAGTGCTCAGCAGGTACAAAATGCTCTCCGAGGCACCGTTTTCCTCTGCCAATTTCTTTTCACTACTACTATTCTGTCACTAACGCCGCCACCCCTCCAGCCACCAAACGTGGGGTTTCCCCACGCCCACCACCGCTCTGACGCCAGTGCCACAATTCAGCTCCATTCCGACACCGTACGTAACGCTGGCGTCACATGCCACGGGGGGACGGCTCCGTCCCCCAAGACTGTCCCGATTCAGACGTCAGTTACAAGTAGTAGGCATGGAGGTTACCCGCACTTGGGTCTGAGCCGCAGGTGCAAGGCGGGGGGTCCCACCCCACCCTCCGCAGGTCTGATTGTTCGCTGGGAATTCCACGTCGGCTCACGCAACTCAGGGAACGTGTACTTCGCTTTCTTGGTTTGTTACACAGTAAAGGATGTTGTAAGGGATACAGGTGAACAGCCCGATGAAGAGGTGCATAGGGCGAGGTCTGGAAGAGCCCTGAACCCGGGAGCTTCTGTCCCCATGGAGATGGGGTTCATCACCTCCCTGCCCGGCTCTCGGACGTGTTCACCAACCCCAAAGCTCTCCAAACCCTATAGTTTACGAGTTGTTAGGGAAGTTTCATCCCTCAGGCATGATCACTCATTAACTGTCTGCAGGTCGCCTTCCCTCTCCAGGAGATGGTTAGGATGTTTTAAGTCGGGTGTTGATCAAGGAGGACTGACCTTCTCTGTGCAGCCGATGGGGGGGGAGGGGTTGTGAAGAATTTCCATGAAACGCAGATTTCCCCTGGGAGCCACTGCCTCCGGCTGGTCAATGTTGGTGGCCTTAGGTAATCGTAGTAGCGGTGGCATGGTTATATGGTGATTCCCTGAAAACCAAGAGGTTCCAAAGATTTTTCCATCTGCCATGGGTCAAATGGCTTCAGATGCTTGAAACCCATTGTAACGTCTGCTCCAGAGCATTCATTGAAATTCCACCCTGAATGTTCGGTGTCGGCGGAGGGGGGGGGGGTGAGAGCTCTTTAAAAAATGCAATTTTGTTACGGCAATGTCTCAGGCTTTGCTAGTCTAGTGGTGCAAGCCACAGTTAGTGGCAACGGGCCGCTAAAGAACGCAGATGACTGTATACAAAAGGAAGTTAAACCTGGCTTCAGTGGAAGAAGGTTGAAGAGAAAACTTCCTTCTGATAGAAGGAAATCTAATCATGCAATAGAGGCCACGCGTTTTCAGACAGAAGCCTTTAGGGGGCCGTGGGAGCCAAGAGACATGAGCTTTATGTCCGGCGATCACTCACAAGCGTTGTGACCTTGGGCAAGTCTTCGCGTCTCTGGGCTTCCTTTTTTTTTTTTTTTT